CCAGCGTTACAAGAGTCCGGTGAGTACAGCATGGCGTTACCCTGTGCCCCAGGAGAGAGGCCAGAGGGCTTTCCAGAAGCATCGTAGGAACAGTGGTTGAGGTTCATTTGCTCGTAATCATTCGAATAACCCTTCATCACCTCAAGGGAATGAGCTTGAGGGAGCTGTGCAGCCATCGCAGTGTAGTCCTCGTTGGTTGGGTAGTCCAGGTTGCTCCAATCCAGGTCGAAGTTGATGCTTTCCGTACCGGTGAGTGGGGATCCATCAAAGGACACAGGTCCCATCAAGTCGGGAACTGATTCGGCAGAAGGGATAGACATGGAGTTCATGGACTGCCGGTGCACCTCGAGGGCCGGAATCAAGCCGTTCGGGTCACCGGCTTCAAACTGACTCTGGAAGCCGCTCAGGTTCACCGAGGTTGGGAACGAGTTGACATCGGTCATCAGATAAGGCGATGTTTCTCCGAACAGAGGGAAATCCTCCCCGTGGGCAAGCGCCGGAGGGTCAGCAAAGTTGAACTGGGGATTCTCAGGCCAATTATAGGTCTGGTCGCTGGGGGAAGGACTGGGGCCTGGGATTGGAGAGGCAAAGTCGGTCGTCTTTGAAGCAGGAGTAGACACACTGGGGGTCTGAGGAGTGGCCTGCGCAGAGGAGCCTCGCTTACTGCCATTGCGGCCGTTGTTCTTGGAACGAACGTAAACCCATCCATGGGACTTTTCCATGTGCTGCTTACAGTTGCTGGCACGCTTTGAGGCATAGGGGCACTTGTGAAATTGACATTTGAAGAGGGTAGGCTTGTCCGAGTGCCTGTCGTTCATGTGGCGGTCACGTTCTTTCTCGGTGGGCCAACCTTTGGTGTGGTAATTGCAGTCAGAGTACTCGCACTTCCAGGGGCGAGTGTGTGTCTTCTCATGCTTCCTATGAATGGATTAGAATTTCGCTTCTGATGCTTCGGTTCGATGAATGGAACAACTTACGTCAAATCACAGGGGCGCTTGAAGACTTTGTCGCAGTCAGCGCACTTTTGGTTGATGTTCATGGGAGGAGCATCCTTCTTGCGGCGGGCCATAGAGCGCTCAACGCCCTCATCGACCGCATCATCAAGGCTGATAGTACGCTTGGCAGTACCAGACACATCCGCCTCGTAGGGCTTTCCTGTGGCCATGGAAATTGGCTTTCCATCTTGCATGATTACAAGTTCAGCGGATTTCCCATTCTTGGATAGACCGCCTTCGAGGGTAGCCTTCTCGATGCTATTTTGAATTAGTTAGGTTCTGCAGTCCAAATCAGATGAGATATCACATACGTAAGAGTGCTAGACTCCTTGGACTCGGAGCCCTGAGTCGCCTGGACTCGCTCGCGTTCGGCACGAACCATTGCTGCGTATCGTCGGACCTGTGAAACAAGGTCAAGGAAGTATCCGTTAGTGTAAGGTCGATCGGCTGGTAGTCGTTGATCACGATCGTTGAGATGCGAAGTCGAAGTATGCAAGCACTGGATCGTAAACTCGCAAAAGTTGAGATAAGAATTCCGAGAAGTGGCGGAGTTCTTTAAATAAAGAAAAAAAAGAATAAGCATAACCGTAACTCCATAAACCCATTGAATAGAACAATGCATTGACTTACCGGCGCCAACCACAATAGGGTTTTCTCGAGGTCGCGCAAACAGACAATCTGTTTATTGATAATGCGCTGGGGAACACTTCGGACCAAAGGGTGGAATGGTTTCAAGCGGGCTTCTTTCAAAATAGGAACAAGCACAAAGCGTTCAATCTGTTTACAGGCAGCTGGGCCCAATTGACGTTTTGGCGACGAACCAGTATCAAAGGCCGAAATAGAGCTTGTGATGGCAGATTGATTGTCGTGAATACCGTCATTCACTATTCATTGTTAGTACTCAAATAGGAAACAATAGGGAACAAAGAGCGACAATGTATTCTTGGGGCATGTGACACCCACCTTTATTTTGCGAGTCAGCGAGCCCCTCTTCGCTACTGACAGATGTTCCTAGTCCACTGTCCGACTCGTGGCTATGCTGTTGGTGGGCCTTTTTCTCGTCTAATGGTATGGGGATGCTGCGACTCTCTTCATTTGAGGAACGCGGAGAGTTCGACATAGACTTGGAGTTACTGCGAACTAACCCACTCTCCAAAGGGCTGTCACCAGCGACGTGCGAGCTCTGGTCCTCGGCAGGCTCCAGAGTAAGACGACCTAGGATGGAAGTCATGCGCTCTTCAGCAGCAGTGATAGCTTCCAACGAAGTGGCCGAGCGATGAGGTAGGGAGCGGACGTTCAAGATAGGGTCGCGATCACTCGATGGAGGAGAAGTGGGGGTATGGAAAGTCTCTCCTTTCTTCAAAGACATCTTAGAGTCAGGCGAGTCACTCGACAGGGTGGGAAGGGCGGTGTTTAAGACGGGCCGACGACGCGGGTGCACCCGCGATGGCTCAGTCTGAATGGCAGACATTATTGGGCGTACTGTGTCAACTAAATTTTAGCACATATGTTCGGACAGGAAAGGAACAGTGGATTGCGGCTGATTGGCCCATCGCATGACTCACCGGAGAGTTGTTCAGATGATTCGAGAAGTGACGTACAGTCGAGTCAGAGATGTAAGCCTCGATTTGATGCGGATTGTCTCCGTTTCGTATATAACAGGACCGCTTCTCTTAAATATCGACCAAGGCTGATTAAAATCGACACACTTGACCAACTATGAGGCCCTGGAGATATATCACGATAGCGATCGTCTGGTAGTCTCTAGATGAACATGCACTCCTAATCCAACGTGTCGCGGGGGTCGGAAGACTTCAAAGCGGGGTTCGACGCAGGGAGGATCAAATACACTGGCACAAATGGGTTTTAATCGAACGATAGCGATATCCGAAGACGAAATGGGTTTTAATCGAACGATAGCGATATCCGAAGACGAAATGAATTCCCCGGATTCCAAGTGAGAGATGAGATACCAAGATTGGGGGTTCCAAGCGGTGAGCCCCACTAAATATGAAATCTGTGAAATCCTTAGACTGAAGGCGAGCAAAATATTGAAAATGAAGAATAAACCCGAAGATGATGGGGGAATAAGCGGATCAAGAGAAAGCAGAGAGGCTCTCATTGCGTGTTGGATGTCTGCCTGATAGACGAAGACGCTAACACCGAAATGGTATAGACTGTGATGGGCTGAGCACATTCTACACAGTGTGATTGGCCATGAAAGGAGTTTGTATGGTAAACAAATAACGGTAATCAAATAGGCCCGCCTTGTACGTGGTTCCCGCGTGGCCCCTAGCGGGTATCGTACCGTTTCTCCACCGGTTCCACTGGATTCTTAAAATGGAAACTCAAGATTAGAACCTTGGAATCTCCAAAGAGCCTCAGTCCAGGCAACATTTTTTCTCTCATCTTTTGAAGTTCAAATTCTCTACTCCGTATTTAGGTCCTAGCCTACTAGGTAGACATAAAAAGGAGTTTGATTTTCAGGTTTACGTCACCTACCAGGATCATGCCATAAAGAATCCCGGGAAAAATCAGGACGCTTATTGGCATGGGGTCTTAGCCCCCCCCCCCCCCAATTGACCGGCAAACAAAAGGGTCTCCCCCAACAGCCAGAAAAAACCGAGTTCCAAGGTTATTCTTTAGAACCATATCTAAGCCGAACTCGTTCTAGACTAATATTAATAATGCTACTCCATATTTTCTGGTTGATTCCACGCCAAATACGAGCTGCACATGTGTACTTGAGCCTCCTATCACCGCTTCTACTTTGAACGGTCCAATAATAGTTGGTCCTTCTCAGCTTGCGTCGGAGGAAAACGCGTCCGTTGGCAGTTTTCCTGTGCTGATCGGACTCGTATCGTGCCAAGTGGCAATCACTCCCAACTCCGCCCCCGTCTGACTCCTCTTCCCCGGTGCACAGCCCAGTCTATCAAAAAGGACCAGCCTTCCAAAGAGTATAATAATGCTTGAGTATGGTGTTTGTAGCTTCCATTGACTTTACACTGTCCCTGAAATCATTAGTATCTGCAACCGCCCAACCTTATTAGAATCCTATATAGTTCATTGATATGCTACCCACATCCATGACTATATCATCTCGTAGCTGAGCTCTGCAATGGCTCTAGACCATGGGATTGGTATGAAAGTATATTCCCCTGGCCATCCGGGGAACGCGATCAGCCAACAGCGTTTTATTGCCTTGCCGGAATGTGCCTCATCACCATCTTTGGCGCGCCCGTCATCGGCCTGACTATTCCAGGCTACGATATTATTATCTTGAAATGCAACTGCCTAGCAAGTTTCTCTAGTCGTCTGCTAAATAATGCCGAGCATCTGCGGGAAAATCTACATGGTATGAATGAGTCTGCCTGGATCATCGCGAGAGTTGCTAAATATATATTTCCAAGGAACCCATCTGGCCAAATTTGTTTCAACAGAATATCATGATCAAGTCCCCAAATATAAGCTTATGTTCGCTCAGATTAATTAAAACCTCGGGAAGCAATTGGATCCCCGAATGATGTCAGTCATTTGGAGCCGGGGAAGGGTTTGTTCTACACGCTATCACAAGCAGACAACCCTCAATGGAGTTAGAGCACGCTTGAGACTGAGATCGGACTGGGAGAAATACACCAATATACACTTGACTATTGCGGCAACCTTGTTGATTTAAGAAAAGTGCAGAACTATAATGTATACATACGTATATATCCTCTTTATTCTATTCATAAGTACGGAGTCCTCCCCGGCTGATTGAACCTCGGCTTCGGGATATGGCAGAACGGCGGGCGGTGCCGAGATGCCCGCGTGTTGATTTCCCCCGGATTCTGGATCCGGCGAACCTCGTCTTCTCCCCTCAGTAATTCGCTGAATTTGGCGCGGGATTCTGTACATCTTCTCATGGGCGCCTGTTAAACGGATGATTTGGTGATTGTATTCCGTTCACATCCCCTATCTCGCCCGCTCCCTTTGCCGACGGCAACCGAACAAGACACCACACCCATGGACTTCGAACAGTATGGGCAGAGCTCCCAGCAGCCTCGACAGCGGAGAAGAAGAGCTGGAAAGCGGCGATTGAACAATAAGACACCCATCGCAGCACGTTTGGCGCTGGATCCCCAGCTGCGTGGGAAGATCGGCATATTATCCGAGGATCTAGCGAATGACCTCTTCCAGCAACAAGCTCTCCAAGGTGAGTGTGAAGCCCCTTAGGCTGTTCTTAATAAGAATGCTAATAGATCCGTCTTTTTCTGACTAGATGTCACTACTTCCGACGATGGAGTGCTTTATGTTGCAATTGCCCCGCATACGCCGACTTATACCTCTGTGGAAGATCAGGCCTGGACGATACTTCCAGTGCGCATCCAGCCCACAGAGAGATCGCCAGTTCCAATGTCACACTCGACCGTGCTATTTCCTGAATCAGCAGACTCACTCCAGCCTTTCCTCCAGGCCTTGGGGAAAGTTGACTTGTCACGCAACTCCCTACAGGCACACCGTTCCGTAGAAATTCGGATTCTGGATGTCGCCCCGATTCACCTCGATACAATCTTTGTGACCGTTGAGAGACATCTCCTCCGCAATCACGATGATGTGCAGAGCAAATTTGGTGGTGGATTCACGAATGCGCAGGGGCCGAATGGACTCTGGGGGAAGGCGGGGAAGTCAGCAGAAGCCAAGAAGTATTCGAAAAGAGCTGCAGCCGATGCCGAACAACGTCTCACTGCAGCAGTTCGTGAAGCATTGGGAGCTCAGCGCATTGTACATACCGGAGACGTGCTGCCCCTTCCACTCCCTTCCCATCCCATAACTCATGCGCCACCACCCCCTGCGCGGATCTCATTCTGCGAGCCTGTTTCGCAAGGCTTGCTGATGTCGACGACAAAGATCGTGCTTGTCCAGGCTCGCCCTCAAGGACTCCGCGCTCAACAAACTGTGCCTTCGAGATCTGCGCTTCTGAAGCAAGTGGCCGAGGACGAAGCTGACGACACTTCCAACGAACAATTTTATTCTGCAGCCGAGGATAAGCCTGGTGAAAGTGGGACAGAAATGGAGGTAACATCAGCTGCCGAGGAGTCAGAAACAGAGGGCTCAGTAGGATCTATGAGTGACTCCTCGGATGATTCTCTGGATGATATGATTTCTCTTAGTGCGCCTGAACTGCCCCAGCCACCATCGGGGGTGATGTCTTCCTTGACTTCGGCTACCCCGAGAGCTGGCGGTCGACGATCAGATGGAATACATACCCCCGGGTCTGTGGCATCGAATTTCACATCGGCCACCATGCGCCCTGGCCGTGGTGGAGGCAAGACCTTCAAGGTGGAAGGTCTGCTGCAACAAGTCCCAAATGAGGTTCTGCACCCACGGCCTCGCGACGATGAAGACGTCGACTCCTTTGTCTTTGTAGATATCAGCACCCTCGCTAAGATCGGATGCTTCTCTGGCGATTGGGTCAGAATCGAAGCCGCCGAGGAGCCTCAGCTGAACATGTTCGCCTCGCTCAAATTTGGAAGTTTCAACGACTCCCCCGAAGACTCAGGCGATTGGCGCCCGGTTAAGATTTTTGGTCTTTCGGGCCTCCCGTCCTCCAAGCCGCGGTATGCCATTAATCACTCAGGTGAACGCCGGTCTAGTATTTCGCAACGTCAACCCACCCGCTTGACCCCTTCGGTTTTCGTCCCTCCGTTGCTTCTTGGTAATATTGAAAACCCCAAGTACCTACGAATTTCTCCGATGACCTTCGCTACCCCTGCTGGCTCTTCCAAACCTGGTCTTTTGCATCATATGAAGAACACTGCTGCTAAGAATCCACCTTTGGCGAAAGAGGTCACGCTGCTCAAGGTTTCCACTCCTCTCTCAATGGATCGGGTCCTTCAACCAGCGCTGTTTGCAGGACTGAAGCAGTACTTTGAGTCACGCCGGCGTATCCTTAAAAGTGGTGATTTGGTCGGAATTAGCGTGGACGAAGGACTTGGCAGAGCGGTGTTCTCTGGCACCGCTGGCGGTGACAGTGCCAGCCAGGAAGAAGATATCACCATTCGGCTGGGTCAAGGTGCCAATGGAAATAATGCTGGAGCCCGCAAAATCGGGGTTGCTTGGTTCCGTGTCGGGCAGGTAGCCCCGACTACTGTAGAGGAGCTGGAGGAGACAGGCGAAGATCAGTGGGGCGGAGTTGCTGTACTTGACCCGGCGACCACGCGCATGGTACAGGCTGGAAGCGACGTGAGCCGAGTTCCCGGCGTGTTGGGTAACGGGTGGGAGTATTGGCTGGGCGTCAAGACGATCCCGAAGAGCATCCATGATGTCCCAATGCCCCATGGAATCGTTGCCGAACCGCCGCAGTCCTTTACCCCATTATTGCAGCAGCGAATCCGTGATTTGATGTCTGCTGCCACAAGCCCACGGGCCATTCAGCTAGGAATGAAGCCTGTCTTTATTCTCCTCAGATCCCAGCAAAGACATATCGGCAAGGCAACCGTCGCAACTCGAGCGTGCTCAGATATTGGCCTCCACACATTCCCCATCGATGCATACGACATCTTGACGGAAGGCGGCGCGAATGGTGGCGACGTTAAGACCGAAGCATATCTCAAAGCCCGAGCAGAACGGGCTTTCCACTGCGGAGCAAACTGCACCGCACTGCTGATCAGGCATATCGAGGTTCTAACCGCTGATCGCATTGTCACGGCAATGGCCGATATCTTGAACGATGCGAGAGTTGTCATTGCTACCACCACTGATGTTGAAACTATCCCGGAAGGTATCCGCAGCCTCATCACCCATGAGTTCGAGATGGGTGCTCCGGAGGAGAAAGAACGTGAAGGCATTCTGCGAAATGCCGTCGCGGAGCGCAGTATCAGACTGTCTGCGGACGTGGAATTGGGCACCATTGCTCTGAAGACCGCAGCTCTTGTCGCAGGAGATCTGGTTGACGTCGTGGAACGAGCTGCCGGGGCGAGAACAGCTCGCCTCGAAAGTCTGGCCGAGGCTAGCAAGAAGCTTTCCGGCTCGGAGGTCTTTGTTAGAGACGTCCTGCTGGCAGGAGGCGACGGTGCACGAGGTGTTACCAAGGCAGACTTTGACACTGCTGTAGAAGCTGCGCGGAAGAACTTTGCCGATTCGATCGGTGCACCCAAGATTCCAAACGTTGGCTGGGATGATGTTGGTGGTTTGACTAATGTTAAGGATGCCTTGGTTGAGACAATTCAGCTGCCTCTTGAACGGCCCGAGCTCTTCGCCAAGGGCATGAAGAAGCGCAGTGGTATCTTGTTCTATGGCCCACCCGGCACCGGCAAGACCCTGCTTGCCAAGGCCATTGCCACCGAGTTCTCTCTCAACTTCTTCTCCGTTAAGGGCCCCGAACTGCTTAATATGTACATCGGTGAATCCGAGGCAAACGTGCGCCGGGTATTCCAGCGCGCTCGGGATGCTCGTCCCTGCGTTGTGTTCTTTGATGAGCTGGATTCTGTTGCCCCCAAACGTGGTAACCAGGGAGACAGCGGTGGTGTTATGGACCGTATTGTTAGTCAGCTGCTCGCAGAGCTGGATGGAATGAACGGCGGCGAGGAGAATAGCGGTGGAGTTTTCGTCATTGGCGCGACTAATCGTCCTGATCTGCTTGACACTGCACTTCTCCGCCCTGGTCGCTTCGACAAGATGCTCTACCTGGGCGTGTCAGATACACACAGGAAGCAGGCGACTATCCTTGAGGCTCTAACGCGAAAATTCGCTCTCAACCCCGATGTCTCGCTTGACCGCGTAGCAGAACAGCTTCCCTTGACATATACTGGTGCTGATCTGTATGCACTCTGCTCTGATGCCATGCTAAAAGCTATCACCCGAAAGGCCACCGCGGTCGACGACAAGATCAAGACTTTGCCAAATGGTCCCGTCAGCACTGCTTGGTTCTTTGACCATCTTGCCACGAAGGAGGATGTGAATGTGACGGTAACCGAGGAGGATTTCCTGTCTGCTCAAGGGGAGCTTGTGCCAAGTGTTAGGTATGTTAATTCCACCTCCCATCCTACCCTACCTCTTGTCTCTCCTCTTGGTGAAATACCATGATACTAATCTCTCGCAGTGCCAAGGAGCTCGAACACTTCGAGCGTATCCGTCAAACCTTCGAAGCAGTGGACAAGTCAAAGCAAGATCCCGCCGCTGCCGCGCCACAGACAATCGCAGAGGCAATGGAGGCATTCAATTTGGGCGGCTCGGCTACACTAGAAGAGGCACCGGCCACGAATGGTGACAGCCACGGAGCTGGGAGTATTCACGGCCGTATCAAAGGCCTGAACAAATGGTCAGGCAACGGTGTCCGCAGCGCCAGCGGCCAGTCAACAACCAGCAGCAAAGGCAAAGGAAAGAGCATCAGCAAGAAGGGAAAGGGGTCCCGCACTGGTGCGGAATCTGATGGATCTGTTGATGGTGACGATGAGGATATGGCAGGTGGTGCCAATGCCAAAGATGACGAAGACGAGGATGATTACATCGTTCGGACTGATCACTTGATGAACCGCATGGAGGAGGTTGAATAGAAAGTCTGGCACAGACATTTTAACGTGCTGGCATTGTTCAGCTGGCCGACCAGCCGGCCTTTGTATCTACTAGCTGATTTGATATACCAATTGTTTATCTGTACATTTTTAATTTCTTTCTGCTATTACGTTTTTGGCCTTATCACCCTATGAAATAATTTTATAGATTCCGGTCTTCAGTAGATAAAAAGCTAAGGACGTCCTCTATTCGGATCCCGAACTAATATTAACTTAAGATCCCAGAAGCGAAGTTTTAGTAGCGCCCTAGTAATTGGAAGTCTCGGCTCCAGAATCCATCATTAGTCACAAAAGGAGAGCGAAGGAAGCCCTATGTCACTAGAGCGATTAATGACTGTGGCAACGTTGGAAGAGGAAGCAGGCCATGACTCCAGCTCCGCTTGGCCTCTATCTGAGACTATCTCCGTAGCACCATGATTTGGTGTGTTAAAAACTTGATTCCGCGACCTAGTCATCAGGGATGTCAACAGAGCAATACCCCACAAGGTCCCCAAATTTAATTAAGCTCCCTGGATCCCCAACCGATTAATAGTATTTGAAAATCGGTTGTTTCCCCCAAGGTCGGCTCGGGCCGGTCCGGAGTACTATGATTGTGTGAATGGAGTACCTACTGGACCGTGTCTTTGTGATACTGACATTATATTGATGAGCCCAGTCCTGCCATGCCCTTGTGAGTGGGCACTCTATTCTAGTCATATATGAAAATTTCCTGTGTGTCTGCCTTCGTGGATAAGAGCGTTGACAGGGTGGGACCTCACTGAATGTGCTCCATGACTCAACTTGAAGGCCCAGTGGTTGGATAGATCCTTACCTGGAAAGTGAGTACCTTTGTCCATCAAGGTTACCTCATGACCAATCGGGCTGCCCGGGGCGACTTTCGACCATGTCCCCTGTTCGCCTGACGCCGGCAGTGTTAGCTGTATAAAGCAGCAGGCTCCAGGCTAAGAGCTGAGATCCAGCGCCGAATCTCACCACGCCCCTGCTCAGCACGAGAGTCTTATATCCTTGCCCGCTAGTAGCAGCCAGGATCAAGCCCGCTGCTTCCCAACATATCAATATCTTTATTTCCCAGAGGATTAGCGCCTGCCACCTTCCCATTTACACCAAATACCCTTCCAGTATTCCTGCGTGAGTTTCAAAAGGTAAACATTTCCACATTTCACACTGTCGTTCGTGAGTCTTCCATTCGTCCGCTAAAAATTTCTTGCGGCAGTGGCGGCACCTCACCTGTACACAACCGCGCCTGTGTGCGGAACGTTGCTGGTTTGGGATATCTTTACCACAGCTGCGGCAAGGCAGGCCTCCCAGTTGTACCAGGTGGTATCCATGACCGCCAGTGATCGAGCACCTCTGGACGATTGACCAACTGAGAGCGGCAATTCGAACAGCAAACTGTGTGTCGTGCGGAGAGCTCCGTTGACATATATTTATACCCATAATGGAACGTATCTGCGTCGGCTGCATGCGATGGAACCAGGCTTACTGGTCATGGCCTTCAGGATACACTTCATCGGATATTAGTTTCCTTGTATCACTAGACTGTGAATATGCCTTGGTAAAAACTCTTGCTAACCTTTCATTTTTGGGGCGTGCTGGATGTGGGCAAGCTGTAACTATTTGTTTATTAGCAACAGTAGATTTTCTTTGGACTTCTCTTCACAGTAGACTCACTTTTAGATAGAGAGTATAGACACCCTCTCGCGTTGTAACAGTATCAGGGTAATATTCGACATTCTTAGCCACTGCTTCAAGAAGCGCGACGGTGCAGTATGACCTCCGGCTCGGTCTTGTCAGCCAGTCTCGTACTTTCCACTTCGGTCTCACCACAAATTGGGGGTTTGTTGTCTCTTTCTTCTCGGCTCTTCTCACATTTTCTTACATTTTCTCTCCACATCTTCCTTCTCAATCTCTTCCAATCAACTTTCCATCCATCTCTGAAGGTTTGTTATCATCCAGAGCTTTTATCATATCATCAACTGACAGGGCATGGCACTGATAGGTTTCTTCCATTCGTTCACCGTGCGTTCCTCCAAGGACTTCTTTTATTGCCGTCTTTCCCGTGAATTGCATGCTGTCCCGCCAGAATGAATATCACGCTGAACACGGAGCAGCTGTCTAAGGGACGGGCTCTTGCCAACAGCTGGGAGCCCGCACAGCTGCTGAAAATGCTTGCGAAGAACCCCCGTACCATGAAAAACGGACCCCTTGATTTTGAGGAGGGACATGTGCCGGAGATGCTCAGGTTCAAGGAGGAGGGCACGAAGGGCTTTGGAAATTTGAGCGGTCTCCCGAACGAAATCGTGGACACGATTGTCAACATATTGGACATGCCTAGTGCTATAAGTCTGTCATACGTCAACAGCACTGCGAACTTCTTTGTTCGGAAAAGCCCCGTGTCATTTCTGAGGCAATGGGCTCCCGGCCTGCCGAAGCTTCTCAAACAGACCCGGATCCAGAAGCATTGGACCATTCGTGAGCTCAGGGACGCAATTCGCCGTGAGAACTGCGTGGTATGCGGTGACTTATGTGTTCAACTCTATCTTCCTACGATGGAGCGTATCTGCCATCCCTGCATGCACGACAACCATGCATACTGGTGCCTTCCCGTGGAACAGGCAGCCTTGATTTTCGGCCTTGACCTACCTGATGTCATCAATTCTCACACCATGTACCTGCCGAGGCTGAGCAGGAATGGCTTTGATTTGGGAGAGTTTGGCGCCTGGGTTGTTCCTGTCAAAGTGGCGCTGACCAGAGCCCTGCAGCTGTATGGCACCCGCAAGGCCATTAAGCGCGCAGCGGAGGGCATCATGTCAGGCATTGACGAAGCTGAAGAACATGACATCTCTGACGACGGTGAATTTGTGGTCGAAAATCAAAATGACATTTATCGCGCTGCTTCCTTGTCCACCCACTCTGCCCCACTGCGTTCGCTTGGCTTATTAGAAAGGCCTCAAATGCATATTTACCATCATGACGTTATCTGCCAGGTGCCTGTTGTCACTGGGAATACACGCAAGGTTCTTCAGTTGTGCCGTGGTTGCACTGCCATGCTCACACACACCAAGTTGAAAGACATTCACGAGAGTCATATGAAGATGATGGGACTTGACCCCGAACTCGACAGGTTTGAGCGAGGGTTTAAAATCTACCGTCGCGCGTTTCGTGTGCGGACTGAGGCCGAGATGGTCAACCATATTCGAACCGAGTGCGTTGGGGGTTGGATCCTGATGTGTGATGAGCGTCAGAATGAGAAGGCATAGGTGGCTCGCCCCGGATGGGAGACTTCATGCCAGTCAGGCATAATTTCTAAAACGTTCGGTTGCGATGGATGGGAGTTGGGGGAACAGTGGGGCAAGGGGGGCTCTTTTGGGGTCATACAACTGTGTTCGCTGAAACGAGCCATAACCCATTTGAACAATGAAAGGTTGGAAAATTTGAGGATCTAAATTTCCACATATGATGTCAAGTTCTGGTTTGGGAGGTGGGAGGGTGAACTATGTATGTATTTTCGCAGTAACAATGAAAGTGTGTGGCAACTGGTTTCCTTTGTTCTATGTACACTTCCAGAGTCATTCTGGTTTGCTATTTCTTTCCTTTTAGGCCGGATATTTTTTTAGTTCTGGGTGGAGTAAGTTGAAATACCCCTAGCAAAATACACAGATACTCGGATATAGGGGATACACTCGGAGCAGGAATAGGAATATGGTTAAGCTCAAGCCCGGAAAGTTTTATATCTTTCTGCGGATACTGATAGATGATCTATCATATGGATAAGAACATTCCGGTGAAGAAGATATCTTTACATAGGAGTATTTGTCTCCAGAGATAGGAAGGTTTGCGGCCCACTGCTCCACACCCAAATCCCTCGGCCCAATTCACTGAAACAGGGAGACCGTACAATATTACAGTCAAGCCAGTATTAGCCAAGCCCTTGAACATAATATATCTTCATTTATCACGCACATTACTATATTTTTGAATTTATCCGCCTCCAAGGATCGTCCATTTCCCCTTCCCCCCGCGTGCCTTGTGGGTCCCCGGGGCGAGTCCCAACCAATGATACGTCGATTAATGCATAAGCTCTGGGGCTGCCGCCGCAAGCCATGGATCGTCAGTCCGCGACTATCCAAGGATCAACAAGGCCCTCGATGATCTCGCAGCTTGTGACTGGCTGAAATCGCCGTTCTCGGTCCGCCGAGCCATTCACAAACACGGCTGGTTATCGCCTCGTGTCTTCTATACCCCAAATTCGTTACATAACACTTCTCCGTACTCGGTTTCCCCCGCGTGGGCCCTGGAGAAGTAAAGATTGCGATATTTGAGCTGTCGTCATGTCATTCGGCTGCTTAAGATGCCTGTTCTGCCTTGTCTGGCATTTTTCTCTTCATCCCTTGGTACATAATCGCCATGGACAAAGACGAATACAATAATGATGATGCTCAGCTGGCCCAGATGGGCCATAAGTCTGAGCTGAAGCGAAACTTCTCATTGATGTATGTGTTGCAATTGACCATTTCGGGATTATGCTAACCTCTTCGTGAAGATCGATGCTGGGTCTTGCTTTTGCCATTCTAAATGTACGTGATGCGACCGGCATATCAAATTTCATAAGAATCAACAATTGACATTGGATAGTCATGGACCGCTTTGTCGGCAAGTTTGTCGCTCAGCTTGCCCTCGGGAGGCAGCACTAGTATCGTCTGGGGTATGTATTCGCTCGGCTCTCTGTCCAATTCTCAAAGCCCAGTGCTGATACGAGTCTCAATAATAGGTCTCGTTACAGCAGGAATCTGTAATTTATGCATGGCAACCTCCCTAGCCGAGTTCCTTTCTGCATACCCTACCGCTGGAGGGCAATATCATTGGGTCGCTGTGACTTCGTGGAGAAAATGGATGCCAATTCTTTCCTGGATTACGGGATGGGTCAACTGCTCTGGCTGGGTTGCGCTGGTCGCAACTGGTGGTCTTTTGGGCAGCCAGCTCATTCAGGGTGTGATCTCTCTCATGAACCCGGTAGGTTACTCTAGGCTACAGTATTGATATATACGTGGCTGACCTTCAAATCCAGAGCTACAACCCCCAGCGCTGGCACCAATTCCTCATCTACATCGGCTACAACATCGTTGCCTTCCTCATCAATGCCTTTATGAACAACCTTCTGCCTTATGTCACCAAGGGCGCTTGTGAGATACTATATTTCTAGCTGTCGGAGATCTTCTACTAATTCCCCCAGTCATCTGGTCTCTGACAGGATTTGCCGTCATTTGCATCACCGTACTTGCATGTGCTTCACCGGATTATAACTCTGCAGAGTACGTATCTACTCGACCGTTCCCTAGAATAAAAAAACTAATTACGAACAGATTTGTCTTCACGGATTTTATTAATACAACAGGGTGTAAGTTTCCCCTATCGTTATCTTCTGTTTCTTGAACTGACTCTTGTAGGGCCTGATGGAGTTGCATGGTTGCTTGGGGTATGTCGTTTGATACAAAAATTCTTGAGTAAATCTAACATATTCATAGCTTCTGCAAGGCGGTCTTGGTGTTACTGGCTTTGATGGCGTCGCCCACATGATCGAAGGTAGCTCCAAAAGGTTGCATTCGATCATAGATCTGAGGCTAACAGACTACAGAAATTCCCAATCCCTCGATCGAGGGACCCAAGATCATGATTGCCTGTGTTGCTATCGGTACCGTTACTGGAACAATCTTCCTGGTTGTACTGCTCTTCGTGGCTGGCGATATCAACAAAATCATTGACTCTGCGGCAACTCCGCTCCTTGCGATTTTGAAGAATGCCACTTCGAGCAATGCAGGTGCTATCTGTCTCTTGATGTAGGTTTCACTTCTCTTCCACCGCTTTCTTGTTGTACTGACACCTTGTCAAGCTTCCCACTAGTTTGTGTTTTGTTCGCTGCAACCGCTATTATGACCACTAGCAGTCGCATGATCTATGCCTTCGCACGGTACGTTATTATTGGCATTCCAGTTTCCAACCCTGGCCATTATACTGATAGTAGCTACAGTGATGGCGGCCTCCCTGCATCTCCAATTTTCTCTCGCGTTCATAACAAACTACAGGTTCCTTTGAACTCGCTATATCTCAATCTAGCTCTCGTGACTATCTTCGGTTGTATCTTCTTGGGCTCATCCAGGTAAGAATACGTACAACACGTTACCTTGGATAGTACTAACGTCTCTAAGCGCTTTCAACGCTATTGTGTCGGCATCAGTGGTACTGCTCGATATCTCATATGGAATGCCAATTGCAGTGAACTGCTGTCGAGGAAGGAGAATGCTACCCGAGCGCTCATTCAAACTGCCCGAAATCGTTGGCTGGACCCTCAACATCGTATGCCATCTCCCCTTGCGGCTTCAGTGAAACGATTACCTTATTGACTCAAAAATTTCTTAGATCTCGTTGGCGTACATTTCCCTGACCACTATTCTTTTCCTTTTCCCCCCTGACTTGCCTGCCACTGGTAGCAACATGAGTGAGTTGGCTTTCTCTTTTTGTGATGCCAAAGCATGAAGCTAATTCGATGTGACAGATTACTGTGTTGCAGCTTTTGGTATTGTCTTTGTCATTTCCACCATCCAGTGGATTGTAGATGGACGCAAAAATTTCGTCGGTCCCCGTATCCAAGTGGAAGTCTTCAATGGAGAGGTCGGTACTCAGCCAGAGCAGCCGATTCCTTTCGTTGAACAGCATAAGAAATAAATCTTCCAACCGCCAGGATTGATTATTATTACATATGATGTAACTTGATAGCACAAAATCTAGATTTTTCAAATAGAATTCCTCGCAATCCAGATAATTATGAAATACGACGCAAAACGATACGAGTTTCCATATTTGACACGCCTCTGCCTTACACCGAAAGTATTTACCTATCCTAATTGTCATTCTCTATCAAAGGGGTGGTTTTGTATATTTGCATCTTTCTGAAGCAAGCGGAGTAGTAGGTGGAAGTCATCTGACTCCAGCCCAACCAGATTCATCAGTTATCATGTGACCAGATTGATAACCCCAAATTTCCCTACGTCATATCAACTTACGATGCACGTGATGGCTTCCCAACAATCCCATCCAAATAACTACACACGGTTTCACCCATCAGCACTATGTTTACTGTTCGGTGGCCATCATTGCCGTCGTTTGGATTGTTCTCATCCTCGCCTACCCAAGCGATTGATCTTCCCCCGGTCAACGTCCATGAAACCGAGACAGCCCAAGACAAGCCGGGCCGGGCATTCAAGCACCTACTGAAATTGAACCATGTCGAGAACTCGCTGTTTGACCGTCGAAACTTCCCTAATCAGTTAATACACGTGAGTGATTTGTATTGCCTTGGTAACATGAGGTTGCTATGTATGCATTCCTCGTCATTGGTCCATGACATTGACCTGCTCGCAGCTCTTGAGCTCCTCCCTTTTGCAAGGCGCAGACGCCGATACCTTAGGCCGGATATATGAGAAGGAAGTGTCTGATCTGGTCAAATGGAAAGAATCACCGGCAGAAATCACTCCTCTTGACTGGCGAGGCCACCTGGGATGTCGAAGGTAGGTTGCTGGGCTTTCCTCGGCCTTTCTTTCGCCTTCAATCCTCGCTAACTCCAAGCAGCTTTGATCGAGCTTTCTTGGATTTCTTTGAAGATGAAATGGTCAACCTCAGCTATGACTGGAAGGAAGTTGTAGCCGAGTACTTGTTTACCGGCAAAGAGCCCATGTTTGATTCTATAATGGCTTCTCGTATGTTTGCATGCTCCTCGACGAGAGCCTGTGCTTAAATTTGTACCCGCTAACTATCTGCCTAGTTGGATTGCCATTGATCCATCTTGCGTACGCCTTTGAAATGGACAGTCGTGAAATCGCAATGGAAGCACTCGGCCTTGCAGCAGCCTGCCACAATGACATATACAAGTACCCAGAAGACCCTAAACACTCCAAAAACGACGCAACATATGAATCAAAGTCACTCTTTGAAATTCTTGATTTAGTCCGGAAAGATGAGGGATTAGATGGCCTCTTTCCCACTCCCGGCAGCGACAATCTCAATACCCTTTTCGTCAGTCGCAACGCCGTGCTGCTCAACCACTGGAAGGCGTGGAAGATAGAGAATCCAATTGAGCAGTTCCGCGAAAGCCAAGAGCTCGCAGCTGCCTTGCTAGTTGGAACTGCAGTTGATTCGACTGGGCATTACGATTTGTTCTTCGCTTTGAACCTCGCAACCAGCCACGCTGTCCGTGTCATGCTGCCTTTCATCCCTCCCCAGTTCCAAATTTCTCTTATTCGACAATGGTGGTTAACTTGCATTGGTACCTACGTCGCGCAACTGCGGCCCGAGATCAAAATGGACCAAATCCGGGATTATGATCTGAATGGAAAGGACTGGGAGTGGGTTGCTGAGAAAGCTGTCAATGGTGAATTTTTGTCCAATGTGTACTTTGTCACGACCACCAGAGCACTGAAGGAACTGGCCATGACTTGGGGCGATTCCGATAGCTTCCTCTTGAAGGCTGCTGTGCGATTTGTCACTGAGTTCAAAGGTTGGCGGGGTAACTTTATCGGATATGAGCTGTAGGATTTGTTTATATCTTTTCCTCTACACTCAGCTCAAAGATATATATGATCTAATGAATAATTGAAGAAAATATTCTTATTGATGAAAGTTCTTTCACTATGACCTTGGGAGGGGAGTTCAAGTTTGTAGTGATTTATATAATCACGTGACCTTATGTTTACTGTTTGCACTGTTTGCATCTCAGACACACGGGTACAAGATGATCGAGATCACCACTGGCATCAACCAATCTCCTCTAAGCACGACATATTTCTTATGGCCTTGGACAGTCATAAATACTAGACCAGTGTGCTTGCTAGATAATTACCTAGGTCTCTCGCCCTCTTCCCCCTTTTCTTCTGGTCTAGGAGCATCAAACACCGCCAGTCATCGAACACCATCGTTCTACCTGGGACACACATACGCGCGTGCGCAGCTTCCACAATGCAGGATGCCGATGTACCCCTCTATCTCCATGCAGAATTCCTACCAAATATCCGCCAGATAACCCTTTACGTCTCCCTTCCTGGGACTGCAACATTTGATGGAATCCGACCAGATATCCAACTTTCAGAATCAAGAAAAGCAGTCACAGTTTGCCTATCAAAACCATTTCAATATGTCACAGAAACAATCAAACTACCAGCACGCGTTAATGACGCGTCCCGGCGCGTGTTGAAATCAATATCTGGGCCAGCTCCAAAATCAGATCCCAATGGTGCTGGGGATCCCAGCTATGATTTTTCTTTCCGAATGCAGGTCGATCCCGACGAAGAGGCGCTGGCGCCTCAAGATGAGCTAATCGATGAATTTGCACCCTGGACAGCGGAGGAAATGTCGTCCTCGACTCGTATTCGTTGTCGAGAGTGTGAACATGGTTTTCTTGATTCGTCATCAATATCCGAGTCGGCTGATCAGGGAACAGGCGAAAGCACTACCCCCGGATGGACCTGGAAAGATCTTCCGAGTGGCAACTGGGCTGAAATGATGGATTTCTGGCATTGCCACAAACCTGACCCCCACGAAGGCCACGAAAAAGATGAGAAAGACTCTGCGCTTCAGGTCGAGGATCAAACCGCGCAGAATAAAGGATATGGTGCGGATAGCCACGTTGTGGCTATTTCCGGGACAGTTTTTGTTGATGTTGCCACTTTCCTTCTTGCTGAGACAGACTGCACAGGATTGAAAAAGGTAAGACATATATCCCTCTCCCCTTCCCACCACCATCTCATCCTGCTTTTTATCCCCTCGGAACCGGGCAACTTAGAAGGGGACCACTCATTCTTCAGTGGGGTGGCCTCCGATACAATTGCCCAAGATGGACGAAATGCACTTTGTGTACTTGCAATCCAAGGTGAAGGTGGTACTCTCACAGGGACAAGATCACGGACAAGATGGGTAGTTATCCTCTCTCTGCAGATGGATTTCGCTCTTTGCGTTTGCGATAGTGGACTTGTGCGAGCCGCTTTTTCCTTGTTTTGTGACTCAGGGTGTCCTCTCTTTTCAGCGCCAGCTATTCTAGCAGGGGAGCGGGCGTGATTACAAGAGGTACATTATAGTATTCTCCTTGCGTGATGTAATATGGGCAATATCTATATAGCCGTGAGCTTGAATGCAATGCCTTTTTCTTCCTTCACTTTTTCAGTATTTTATTCGGCGCAATAGTTACAGTTACAGCTCCTGTTACAATTACAATTTGCTGACAAGCAATGCAATTTAGGGTGATGACGAAGAGGAAAAAACCAACATTGAAGTCTCAGCACAACGAACCCTCGACTGCGCAAGCTGCAGTTCCATAATCGGCATGGAAGATCCAATTGCTAAGGGATGGCGACTCCTGAAGGCCAACGTATCCTTGAATACCTATTCACCCAGCTGTGGGGCAGAAAAGGCGAAATGGGAGGTCCACCCAACAGAAACCATTGTTGCTGCACAGTTGCTTGAGTTAATCGAGAGAGAAAGCGCTCGGCGATTCGTCGTTCATTGTGGCCAGAAGAGCGGCCTCGTGGTAGGTGACATTCCATTCCGCTCGAATTGCCTCCGAATTACCTCCGAATTTTGAGGCATTGTATAGAACCAAATTTACAGATGGCACGGGCTGACGCATATTCTACTTGCAGCTTTGGGTCTTCAATCCAGACATGCGATACTCGAATTCTAGCGCAGGCTGCAGTATCATGGCTCAGCAAGCGATGAAGGTATTCTACCAAAAGACTCCCGATGTGGATGAATTGCTCCATCCAGAAATTGGGAATCCCTCGCCCTTGTCGGTGGAAGAGTTGGAGTTGCCATCTATGATATTCGAAGCAATGTCGCAAGCGTTGACTAGGAGTAATAAGATGCTCCCGCTGTCTGCGAGGCGGTTTAACGAGTGGGACGTTGGGCTTTTGAGTCGTTTCAGGCGCGAGAAAGCCTGAACTTTGGGGGTTTTGTACGCAGAAAGGAACAAAGCCTACAGCAGGTCTATGCTGATAATGCAAGGATGAAAATTAAATCATTCATTGTTATTCTTTCTTCTCAATTCAGGTTTGAGGTTATCGTAGTTATGTGCCATTATAAATTTGAAGGCTTCCAGCGCCCCATCTAACCATCAAAGGGTGTCTCAAAGGGAGGCTCGGCCTGGGGCGTGAGACGAGCGATGTGTCGGCGCTGGCCATCCTCCCAGTCGAAAACGGCGGAATGGCATGCCACACGGTTCTGCAAAGGTCAGTGTCTTTGCTCATATTGAGAGAACGGGTAGGTGCTATAACTTACATCCCAGACGACGACAGTGCCAGCCTTCCAGCGAATACGAGCTTGAATGTCCTGCGACAAGGCGATGTGGTCGTACAGGAACTTGAGGAGGTGGTCTGATTCCTCCTTCTTGTATCCAACAATATAACGGGTGACTATGCGACAAGAACAAGACATGTCAGCTTTCATCATTCGCTAAATGTGCTGATCTAGACTTACACTGAGGGTTCACGTAAAGTGCCTTCTCGCCGGTCACTGGGTGAGTCCGGACAATGGGGTGCTCCGATGTAACAGGATCACGGCGGGCAATACCACCACCATTCAAGCTAGCATTGATCTGCTCTAGGCCGGAGTGTACGGCCTTCAATCCGTGGAGTCGTTCCCGGAAGCCAGGCGACAGGCGCTTATATGCCTGGACCATGTCGGCGAACAGGGTGTCACCACCTGTGGTAGGGCCATCGAGCGCATACAAGAAGGTCGTGCCGGGGGGCTGCTTCTCGAAGGTGACATCTGAGTGCCATGTAATGGTATTGGTGCGTTGCTTCAGGAACACCTCGCCGGTGCGGTCGTCAGCACCGCGGAAGACAAGGTGGATCTCTGGGAAGCCCTTGGGGGCCCCTGAGGTCTGGTGGATGTGGTGTCGGCCAAAGTAGCCGGCATAATCGACAACCTCTTGAATTGGGCGGGATGCAAAGTCTTGGTCACGGAAGGCTGTTTGGGTTTGTTAGACTCTTGCTTAGCAGAAGGGCGAGGACTGAGGAAATGTATCCGATTACGTACCGACAACTCGTCGTTGTGCAACATAGAGGGCCAATTGATCCTTTCCCTTGTCGGAGAGTTGGCTTAGTTGCACGCCGTGGATCTCGGAGCCAATGAAGGGAGTGATCTGGTCGACCTCGACTTGGCCCTTGGGTAACAGGTCTGGGAAAGAGGCGTCGGCATCTTTGCCGTGATCGTAGTGCTCAAAGAGCTCCAGAGGAGGATATCTGGGGGTCTATTAGATATAATATTCGTGGGGATGCGAGGCGGCATGGGGGAGTATACACATGCCTTTCTGTCTCGTTATCCCAAACGGGGAGATATTCCGGATATGACACTGGAGGTAGCTTGTCTGTGCCCTTAATCTCAAGCTCCTTTTCAATTTTGTATCCAATCAAGTTCTCCTTATTGTGGCCGCCGTCTGACTTCAGCGAAATCGCAGGCGGGGCCCGCAGGGCCACTGTCTCAGTGAGGGAGGGAGCCATGTTCTTAGATTTTGATAAGTATATTTCCTCTGTGATTAGATATATTTTCTGCCCTGAGAGTTAACACCAATATATAACCATTTCGGCACATCAAACCGATACGAATTACGCCATTATTGCGGGGGTTTACGGTATTTGCGGGACAAGCCCTAGAAGCCTTAGAGTGTCAACTCTCCGAGATCATCGCGAGCGAGACGACGAGCCGGGGCTATGCGACAACATATAGTATATACAATATATATAAGCAAAGTGCTCCTAGCATTGGCCGAGAATGACGCGATAATAGCGTCCATTGACATGGTTTCATTTTTAACAAAGTACGTTCTACTAGACTACATGGAATACTATACGATTCTCAAATCCACTATGGCGTGATAGACTACAAGCAAATTCCTAGATTTTGTTACATTTGGCTCTTATTTCTACTACAATTCAATGCTATATATTCAATAAATTGCTATATAGTTGTCATTCCTTTAGGGGGAAATATTGAATGCCGAGATAGGGTATAGGTATTTAATATAGCATAAACTACTACTCCATACCACATTGTACTTTAGATATGTAGATCTTCGTCAAAGTGTTTGGAAAATACCCCTGCTAGATTTGGCTCCACTGACTCGTCGACTCTAACGTCACTCCCGCTGCACTTGCGTGATTCAGCCAAGCCAACACCCCACTGGACAATATACTTCGGCTCGTCGTCTCTTTTAAAATACTAATCTACAATTGCCTTAGATCTCTTTTATCTAGAAAGATTTTGCTCAACGATATCGACGATTCCCCAAAGGGCCCTTCCGACTTCGAGTCGAGGCCTCCCTGAGCCAACCAGAACAGGTACATTGTACACGATCTGGGCACTATTAGGTCGCAATGGGGACTCTAAATCACCCATGCACATCACAATCGGGAGTTCCACACCTTTCTGCTATCAAGGTTGTGACTTTTACCTGCTCACCTGGCCCACAAAGGTAGAGGCCAAAGCGAGGCATATGCTAAATATGGCGTGATAAGTAAACGTCAATGTCGCCTTGCTGCCTTTATATGAGTTGATGCCCGTCCAACCCAAGCACTGCTTCTCTTCTTCTATCCATAATCAGATTAACAGTCCCTGATACTGCGAGATGACGGTTGAAGAAGCCACTAAAAAGGGTTCCGATGCCGAGGGCCTTGACATTAAGGCTATTCCGAGAGTCTCGTCTGCAGATTCTTCGTCTTCATCAACATATGAAGGTCCTCGCGCCAAGCAGACCGACTGTGCTTTTGATACTACCGAGGACCCGCGGTTCTATAAGCCCATTCCTGAATATGAGGGTGCCCATCGCTGGGACCCAGACTTTGAATGGTCGGAGCAAGAAGAGAAAGCCGTTGTGAGAAAGGTATGTGTTACTGAAAATGTCGTGTATTGTCTTCAGAGTGACTGACCCCTTCCATAGATTGACTGGCGTGTTTGTACATTTGCCTGTGTGACTTTCTTTGCGCTCCAGCTAGACCGTGGAAACATCGTCCAAGCTACGTCCGACAACATGCTGGATGATCTCGGCATGACCACAAACGACTACAACACTGGCCAAACAATCTTCTACCTAACATTTCTCTTCGCCGAGCTGCCCTCTCAGCTCATATCGAAATGGGTCGGCCCTGATCGCTGGATTCCCGTGCAAATGATAAGCTGGAGTCTTATCGCCTCGTGCCAGGCATTTATCCAGAACAGGAGTGGATTCTGGGCGACCCGCGCGATGCTCGGTTTCCTCGAGGGCGGCTTCATTCCAGACACCATCCTCTTCCTATCATTTTGGTATAAGTCTAAGGAGTTGCCCATCCGGCTCAGCTTTTTCTGGATGACATATGAAGCAACCGCAATTATCAGCGCTTTCCTTGCTTTTGGATTCCTCCACATTCGCCAGTCAGATGGCACCGGTGGCTGGCGATACCTGTTTGCCCTGGAGGGTTTGATTACGGGGTTGATCGGTATTGTTGCTGCATTCTGGATGCCTCCCTCGCCAACGCAGACCGCGGGCCGGTTCCGCGGTAAGAATGGCTGGTTCGATGAGCACGAAGAGAAAATTATGGTGAACCGTGTGCTGCGCGATGACCCAAGCAAGGGAACCATGCACAATCGTCAAGCTGTTACCCCCAAGCTGCTCTGGCAGGCTCTGAAGGACTACGACATGTGGCTTATCTACCTGCTCGGTCTGACTTGGATGATCCCCAGCACACCGGCTACGTCATATATCAGTCTAGAGCTGAAGGAGCTCGGTTTCAGTACTTTCCACACGAACTTGCTCACTATCCCAGCCTATGTGATCTTCATCATCAATCTGCTAGTGTGGACTTGGATGTCAGAGCGGTTTAATCAGCGACTACTGCTTGGTGTCGGTGCTGAGCTTTGGGCCCTGGTCCTGCTGATCGCATTAGAGACTATTTCCGAGGATGCTAGTGCTTGGGTGCGTTGGGTTCTGCTGATCATGTTGATTGGAATGCCTTACGTGCATGCTATCATTGTTGCAATTACATCGCGCAATGCGGGCTCTGTGAGGACACGGACGGTTGCTACTGCTGTCTACAACATGATGGTGCAGGCCAGTAACATCGTTGGTAACAACGTGAGTCCTTCCGGTTTCCTTGTGCGCTCAGATTATCATTACTAACCATCACGTCCAGGTCTACCGCAGCGAAGATAAGCCCTACTACCACACCGGTAATAGGGCCCTTATGGGTCTTGCGGTGTGGAGCATGGCGATATTCATTATTGCCAAGATTTACTACGTGAGGCGTAACAAGTATGTTAACTAACCCGTGTACGGAGTACTCCGATCGAATTACGTTTACTAATATTTGCTACTAGACAAAATGCCGCTATCTGGGATAAAATGTCCAGCGAAGAGCGCTCGCGATACGTTGTTGAAAACAAAGATCTTGGAAACAAGAGGTATGTCTAGCAGTTTGTCTCTTGCTGTGCGACTTGATGCTAATGACCACCCTACAGAGTTGATTTCCGATTTTTGCACTAGAGCTCATGACTACATTGTCTGGCACATATGTGGTTGGATTATAGAGATATTGCCATATTGGCGAGACTTTAGAAGCATCAAATAGAGCAAAATAATGAGCTGAGCTCATTCGGCAGCGATTTCATCCAGATGTCCGTTATAGAATTTTCAGAGCAGTAAAGATTTATCCACACATCGATTAGACGAAAATCGCATACTTTCCGAGTTCCTACTCTCCAATCACATACTCACACCCCTCGTTCCCAATCCAAACCTCGTGAACTTTTCCAGCAGGAACATCAACCCTCTCTCCAGCTCGAAACGTCTCTTTTTTAACCTCCCCATTATGCAATTTAGCATTATCATCAGGATAAGTGATTGTGAGAGATCCACGGCGGATAAGGTGTGTTGTCAAGCCGCTATGCGAGTGCGGGGAATAATGGGCGT